TGGTGTTATACAAATAGTACATTAAAGTATAAAATGAATAAATGCACATCCTTGTATGTTTGCTCATACTTTATTTAACACACGTATGTGTTTGAACACAACTAACTTTTACATACACTTTTATATATCTAATATATTAGTATTCTTATCTCATTACGCAATAAAATTACACTAGGTATAACCTCCGATAACATATCCTGTGACTCTATTACTTTCGAATGATCTTTGAGATACAAACGATAATTTAACAATATATATCGGATAATATTAACACGAAAACAGATAGAGTCTGTTAATCCATTTGTTAATGCGCCGCGCGTTGGGGCAATTGCCAGCGTCGGAATTCTCGTTCCATGAGGCAGATCTTCGCGGCCACCAGATCGTAGTATTCTTTTCGCGAGCCGGCCTTTTCGAGCATCGAGGACTCCAGCTTCTTAGCTATTCGGGGGTTCAGGAAAACTCGAGGGATTGACGGGTATTGATCTGAGAGGAACTGGACGATCTTATCAACGAGATGTTCTCGTTGGTCGAGGGTAACGAAACTTTTCCATTCGTTAGGATCAGTTAGATCCTCGCCATTTTGCCTTTCTGGTTCGCCTGATGATGAGTCAAGTTCTGCAGAGAGTGAACGGTCCGTATTGGTCGATGGCGGTCTCCTTTCCTGGTTTTCCTAGAACCAAAACAAACAAGCGGATACAATAAGTTTGAATTATACAAAGATATTAATTAAATAAGTAAACTTCTCGATAGTTCTCGAAATCGGACGCGAATGAAGCTCTCGTCAAGCTTCGGCTGCGTCGACTTAAGGTAAATGGGTAACGATGATAAGGGTGAGGTTTCTTGATAAAACGGGCGCTCTAGCGACTAGTTATTAAACTGGAATTTTGAGTTCTTAGTAAATAAAATTAATATGACAATAGCAAACTAGCACGCCACAATCTCGATTAAATCTTTCTGTTATCTTCATATAGAGATTAATATGCAACACGTCCCTGCCTAAGTTTCATTTTTAAATATACTCAGAAACCTGTCTTCAACGTGAGCGAAACAGGGTTAAGATTTGCATATAAACCGCAAAAGTATGAATCATGCACCTGATTCGTATCCTGAGTTGGTGCAAAATACGGCAAGCCTAGACCAGCATAGACTCGCTGCATATCTGTTGACATGCTATTTTGAGCACTACCTTCACGCTCGACAACTAGCCCCCGCAGCTCAATGGGAGCTATCTGCTGAGGTGCAAGCAACCGCCTCAGTGGAGCATGGGGAGCAGGCTGGACAACCTGAATGGCGCCATGAGCAGCTAAATCCGCCTGTCCCCGGCGAGCTTGTAATTCATCTAAAAGGGGTCGCTCGCGTTGAATCCGAGACGGCAACATCGTTCTACACAAGGGACAGTTCAGATGGGTGCAGGAAAGCCAATGCGACATTATTCGGCGTGTAGTGGGACATAATGGAACCCTGCAATCTCCAGGACCCACGCACTGCGTAATGTGATCGAGCACAGTCTTCATTGTGCTGCAGTATGAAACCCCGCACTGTCCTTCCGGACGTCGGCATCTTCGGGCATGCAAGGCAAGGCATAGATGTTTCTGAAATGATCTTACAGAAAGACCATCTCCCGGCTCAAACGGATCTCCTAAAAGTATTACAAAAACGCCAGTAAAAAACGCGCGGTTACCGGTAATTCAATGAAACATTAGCGTGAACAAGTTATGTAACATATTGCTAATGATTATTTTTAGAACGGCTGCGTATTATAGAAGGAAGTGCAGCTGCTTAGAACTTTACTTGAGAATATAAATGATGGCGGCGCATACGGCAAACTGACCAGTTATTTATGATAAGACATCACATTCTTTTTTACTACAGCGGTGTTAACTTGAATATTGAGAGCCGCTGGCTAAAAATCAATTGACTACGAATCAAGCCCGCCTGTCTATCTGACTGTTGCATGCGTTTTAATAGTTAATTATCACAACTGAATATATCATATAATATACACGGCTTTCTAGATGTTTTTGTATATGAGGAAATGTCAGAAACACGAACAGTTATTATTAGCAAGAAATGTACACTATTGCCAGATTTAATTCTCGGTTAGAGAGATAACATCGCACTCGACTGTACCATCTGCGTTCTGCTGCTGACTACGGCCTTAAACTACGGATTCAACCTATTTAGTACACTAAAATAACCACACCTACATTTCCTAGTAGCTATGTTAGTTCGAGCATGTCACTCTTTACTCACTCAGGGGCATCTCCGTATGTGATCACTTGTCCAGTGCTTTCCTCGTAGCTTATTAAAAGTTTTAAGCTCCTTCTTTTTGCTTCGATTTACGGTCCATTCTTAGATTAGCTATCTACCTTGCACGAGCCCACTTCATACGGGCATAGTAGCACGGATACACATTAGGCCTTGTCGTCTTCAACACCTTCTGAAACATCTACTACAGTTGATACCGTGGTGGAAAACTTCTGGTGATGGCAGCTACCCGACGATACTTTGTTTTGACTTGTGTACTATAACAGTGCGCATCCCGCGCTTGTCGTGGCTCAGTTGGTCATTACGGATAATTCTTAAGTTTTTTCATATCTCATTTGCATGCATACAGCTCATACCGAATTGGCGTTATAAATGTTTAAAAAACTATCATCTAGTACTAAGTGTTCAGTTTTCCAGAGACTGTCACATTACAGTTACTGTACTGACATACTACCGTAGAAACTAAGTGAACGAAGTGCACAGCTGGAAATTCTCTTTGTAACACATCTGAAACACGTTTCGTTTACTCGGAATGTAATTATAATATATTGATACATGTGTACCAATAGCAAAGGTCATTTATGCCATCAAAAATACACTAAGGTCTCGTCATCATTTTTACTCATACTGACGTGCGCTATTGCTGTAGTAATCTACCTCTAATATCATCCATTTTACTATATTAATGTGTATTTGACATTTGGCGTCAATGGCGCTTTTGACGCAAAAGAAAAGGGGGCTGAGACGTAAAAATACAGCCTAAGTTCACTGTGGTTCACAACGTTCCACTTGTCCAAACAGCTGCGGGCATCGCCGTTTAACTGCCCGGGTACACATATGCCCGGTTCCGGTGCCAAACTCACCCGATCAGCCGAATGTGGAGTAGGGACTACAGGATAATGAATGGCCGAGCGCTTGTCTACCAGTCCGTGTATCGGTCCATCTGTACAGGCGCGCCTGCCAAAACAAACTATGGCGGTATATCATCGCATAATTTCGAAAATTTTAGCTGCAAAAGGCGAAAGGTGGCTACAAACAGAAGAGGCGCGAGTCGACGCTAATGTCGGCAATAGTTTGGTAGACCCATTCCTAGACTGCATGGCTGCAATATTATGCCATATGAATGCAGAGTGGGTTATATCGGATGTAGGATTCATCAAGCTTAGAATAAGTTCTGTGAGCTCTAATCTGGCTGATATTTTTAATAAGAATACAGGAGCTGACGTTTTGAAAAGTATAATATATAATGGTATATAAGTATATGGTATACAATGTAGTGTGATAAGTGTTCACAAACGCCTAGTTCTCGAGTTACTCGCTTTTACAGTTTTAATGAAGATCTTAACTTTTCTCGGATGTTCACGTAACGGTGATTTATTATCAGCGTCCTGAATCAGCTTAATTTTAAGGCATCTTAGTGTCTGTTCTGATAACTAATCTGCTGGCTAAAATATTACCGTCTTGAGACTCAACCGGTTTTATAGATCACATGACGTGCAAGTTTTGACTGAGAGAAGCTTCTGTATCCCTGTGACAAATAAAGACAAAATACGATTTGCTGCATGCTTTGTACAGAACTAGACGGGTTGACTCTGCGAATGGATTTGCAATAAATATTTGTCTTGTACACAATATTTCCATTTACAAACAGAATTAGTCGCATAAATAAATCAGCTTTGCAGTGTTACCCTGCAAAGAGTGCATTTGCATACGACTCTATGACCTTCAGATAACAGTCTTTAGGAAATTACGACCATTTATTTGTGTCCAAAATGTAGCTCTTAGTAATTCCATATTACTGGTAAATGTTTCGGTGTATTTAGTCGTGTAAATGACGCAGCGTTAGCTACTGACGCTCAAATATATCGGAAACAAAGACTAAATAACAGAAATTGCATTCCATAGCATAGTGACATTAACGTACAGATATAAATCAGTCTAAGTAAGTCAAAATATTATGTTTCCGATATAAGTACTTTCGGTATTAATAGAGTTCTTCTTAGTTGGCAACCAGTTTGAAATGCTAAATAGTGAAGTGCTCTCATGGGATAGGGCCATGCGAGTGCAAGATAATTAAAGAAGATGGGGACTTTGTAATAAAATTAAAAATTTTTTGACCAAGTGGAATCGAAACCACCCTCTAATCAACTATTTGAAACACTTCAAGCAGTTGATTAAAGGGAGAAAATGGAAAATTGTTTATGGAATATAGAACAATCTTGTCCCGCGTCAATAAGCAAACTAAGACACCAAACAGAGAATGTGTTATAGGTGGTATAAAGAATAGCGGCAAAAATATAGAATAAGGGACACATATATATCCTACCTGAACCGAAAAAGTAGACGATCATGGCTTTCAAATTACTGATTACTTAAGTATTTTGCTCAACCGAATAACGAACAGCCTTAGCACAGACGTAACAACCTTTCTATCACTAGGCTATTTTCGCAAGGCATCGAACGAACAAACTCTCTTCCCAAAATTGATTTAAGCCACAGCTGCCTTTCTTTTGCTTACCACAAGCCATGATATAGCACTATCCTAAATATAACAATTAAATACGACCATATAATGCTCTTCTCGAAATATTTTTTTATTAACAATATAATAGTAAAGAACGAATTAGTTTATATGAATGTACATACATCGTATTTACAGTTGATTGTTGAAATTGATTGTTCCTATTTGTCTCAGAAACGAGCTGATGACGTCAGTCTGCGGCATGCTTGTTTGCATTCCTTATTAGAGTGAGGGCAAAGTTTTAACGAATAATTGGACTATCGACTGGTATAAGACACTGATGGGATGATTTAGCTGTTCAGGCTGCCATATTGATTATGCAAAATGATTGGAGAGACACAATTCACGCTAACTTTTGTTTTTCTCAAAAACTTCCAGTATCATCACCAGGAATAATCTCTACCTCGTTGGATAACCGCAAACGTTTTTTGTATTCCTCAGCCTCTTTTTCCTGAAACGCAAGCCAACAAAAACAGAAATGAAGACTCCAAAACTCATTGTGTACGATTAATTCCTGGCGTTACTTTTTTGGTCCCTCCTTTTTTTTTTTTGAAAAAATTGCCTATAGAATAGTGTCTAGAATGTACCAGTTCCCATAACGAGAACGAAATGACAAAGCTACTTAGCTATATCGCCATTGAAGTACGAATCACACACAGGGGGTCGTCTTGATTTATATAAAACTATTTTGAAAGCTTGACGTAATTTTTAAGTAAGGTCAGAATTCGTGTAATATTAACCACCTCTGGGGTGTATATAGACATATATCTCCAAAACTCATTGTGTATAATTAATTCGTGGCGTTGCTTTTTTGGTCCCTCTTTTTTTATTTAAAAAAATTGCCTATAGAATAGTGCCTACAATGTACCAGTTCCCATAACGAGGACGAAATGACAAAGCTACTTAGCTATATCGCCATTGAAGTACGAATCACACACAGAGGGTCGTCTTGATTTATATAAAACTATTTTGAAAGCTTGACGTAATTTTTAAGTAAGGTCAGAATTCGTGTAATATTAACCACCTCTGGGGGTGTATATAGACATATATCTCCAAAACTCATTGTGTATAATTAATTCGTGGCGTTGCTTTTTTGGTCCCTCTTTTTTTATTTAAAAAAATTGCCTATAGAATAGTGCCTACAATGTACCAGTTCCCATAACGAGGACGAAATGACAAAGCTACTTAGCTATATCGCCATTGAAGTACGAATCACACACAGAGGGTCGTCTTGATTTATATAAAACTATTTTGAAAGCTTGACGTAATTTTTAAGTAAGGTCAGAATTCGTGTAATATTAACCACCTCTGGGGGTGTATATAGACATATATCTCCAAAACTCATTGTGTATAATTAATTCGTGGCGTTGCTTTTTTGGTCCCTCTTTTTTTATTTAAAAAAATTGCCTATAGAATAGTGCCTACAATGTACCAGTTCCCATAACGAGGACGAAATGACAAAGCTACTTAGCTATATCGCCATTGAAGTACGAATCACACACAGAGGGTCGTCTTGATTTATATAAAACTATTTTGAAAGCTTGACGTAATTTTTAAGTAAGGTCAGAATTCGTGTAATATTAACCACCTCTGGGGGTGTATATAGACATATATCTCCAAAACTCATTGTGTATAATTAATTCGTGGCGTTGCTTTTTTGGTCCCTCTTTTTTTATTTAAAAAAATTGCCTATAGAATAGTGCCTACAATGTACCAGTTCCCATAACGAGGACGAAATGACAAAGCTACTTAGCTATATCGCCATTGAAGTACGAATCACACACAGAGGGTCGTCTTGATTTATATAAAACTATTTTGAAAGCTTGACGTAATTTTTAAGTAAGGTCAGAATTCGTGTAATATTAACCACCTCTGGGGGTGTATATAGACATATATCTCCAAAACTCATTGTGTATAATTAATTCGTGGCGTTGCTTTTTTGGTCCCTCTTTTTTTATTTAAAAAAATTGCCTATAGAATAGTGCCTACAATGTACCAGTTCCCATAACGAGGACGAAATGACAAAGCTACTTAGCTATATCGCCATTGAAGTACGAATCACACACAGAGGGTCGTCTTGATTTATATAAAACTATTTTGAAAGCTTGACGTAATTTTTAAGTAAGGTCAGAATTCGTGTAATATTAACCACCTCTGGGGTGTATATAGACATATATCTCCAAAACTCATTGTGTATAATTAATTCGTGGCGTTGCTTTTTTGGTCCCTCTTTTTTTATTTGAAAAAATTGCCTATAGAATAGTGCCTACAATGTATCAGTTCCCATAACGAGGACGAAATGACAAAGCTACTTAGCTGTATCGCCATTGAAGTACGAATCACACACAGAGGGTCGCCTTGATTTATATAAAACTATTTTGAAAGCTTGACGTAATTTTTAAGTAAGGTCAGAATTCGTGTAATATTAACCACCTCTGGGGCTGTATATAGATATAGATCTACCCCCCCCCCCCCTTTCGCCACTTCAGTGATTGATTCGCGACCATGCACTATACGCTCATTATTCAATTAATTTATATACTTTATTCAGCATATGACACGTTAGTCTGCAATTCTTTTTTAAGTTTTATAACTTAATCTACATCTGATCTATCTATACCTATGCTTTGACCAAAGGAGTATACGAACAAATGCCAAATCTTTCCTGTTAGTACCTTTTCGTGTAGGGCTCGTTTATACCGCTCAGCCTCTCGTCGCATCTCTTCCAGCTGTTGCTGTAGGCTGATACGATCTTCGTCATTTGTCGAATTTACAATAATTATCTGCAGTCATTGTAATAAAAAACGATCCATATATAAATAAGACCTTTGAGTGAATCCATTCCTTGTAAATGCTTCTCAAACAAGTACGTCTTCGTTAACAAATAAACACATCGTAGTAGGTGTTCAGGGATACAAATCTCTTGTATTACGTAATCTTTACTACTGTAGTACCGGGTACAATAAAGTTCCTAAACATCCATAAGATCCCATAAAACTGACGTTATCTACTAAAATAGTTCGGAAGATCTATGTTATTTTTCTCTCAACAAACCTCTATGATGCTATCATAATACGCAACGGCATATCCCGTGCTACCGCAATACACGACATTATATCAAATAACATTTTTTCACCTTTTCGGTAGAAGCGCTCGCGTTAGCCGCAGCGTTGACGAGTGCAAGTCGCCCCATATGGCTAAGTTGTATTGTCTGACCGTTTTCAGGGGCGCTAGCAACTAGATTATCCTCGTCCTGCAAGCCTACCTCGGCGGCACGAATGCCCTGCGCCTGCGCAAGAAATTGTATGGCCGCCTCACTGACAGCCCCGCTGCCAG